TATCGCCTCTTTCTCTTTTCCTCTCTCTCTCTCTCTCTTCTCTTCCTTCCTTACTCTTCTTTTTGGTTCAATCTGTCGATACAAGGCATTGTTGTATTTTCTTTTTTGGCATACTACTATTATATACTGCAAGGTTTGGTGTAAGGAGTCACTATTACTACTACGTAAGTCACACAACATATCATCTTTCCAACCGGGAACACAGGGTTACTGCGACGGTTATCACGTCTTGTCCACTGCATGGGATCACAACGGGTTGTCTGAGTTGTTCAATTCGCGCATTTTCACGAATTCCAATCATCTATTCAGCATCAGTACTAGTAGTAGTCATTACCGTGCATTGCTGGCAAAGATGCCGTTCAAGTCGCGCTGGCAGATTGACATCCCCAACACCCATTTGGCCTCGGCTTTGCTGACTTCGCCGACTCACCCCCTCTCCAAGACGCACCGCTGCTTCTCTGAGGCTGCTCGTCCCGACACCCACTACTTCACCCCCCACGATTTCCGTCTATGGTGTCAACGATTTGCTGCAGGCTTGCGCAAGCATGGCCTGCAGGCGGGTGACCGTTTATTACTTTACTCCGGCAATGACTTGTTCTTGCCTGTCGTTTTTCTCGGCACTATCATGGCTGGCGGCATCTTCACCGGCGCAAATCCATCCTACGTCGCCAGGGAATTGGCCTACCAGTTGCAGGATTCCGGTGCATCGTATCTGATCTGCGCCGAAGGCAGTCTGGACACAGGAATTGAAGCCGCGAGGCTGGCTGGACTCAACCGCGATCGGGTGATTGTCTTCAATAATGCCATTTATGATGGTCAAGGACATGCCGTCAACGGCTGCCGCTACTGGGGCGACCTGATAGCGTCTGAGGATGAAGGCAGCGGATTCGCATGGGATGATTTGTCAAGCCCGGAGTTGGCCGATCGGACTCTTGCCCTGAACTACTCCAGTGGCACCACTGGCAGACCCAAAGGGGTCGAGATCACGCACAAGAACTATGTCGCCAACCTGAGACAATTCAACCACTTCTCCTACCTCAATCCGGATTGGAAGGACAAGCAATCCCGCTTGCGCTGGCTCTGTTTCCTTCCCATGTACCATGCCATGGCGCAGAACATCTTCATCGCGTCTGCCCTAAGTCGCGATATACCCGTATATATCATGCCAAAATTTGACTTTCTCAAAGTTCTCGAGTACACGGAGAAGTTCCGCATCAGCGATCTCATCGTGGTTCCACCGGTGGCGGTCGCATTGGCCAAGCACCCTGCAGTCAAGAGCGGCAAATACGACCTGAGTAGTGTGGAAAGTATATCCAGCGGCGCGGCACCTCTAGGGAGGGAGGTATGTGTGGAGGTAGAGGCATTGTGGGAACCTGGACGCATCAACCTCAAACAGGGATGGGGCATGACCGAGTAAGCTATCCACCCATTGCTTTTGTATATTCAGTGGCGAAGAATTTGCAGGCTAACGAAGTTTCTGTTTTTCTTGCCTAAAGGGCTACGTGCTCTATGATGGGCTGGGATCCCAATGAGATATGCGAATCGGCGTCGGTGGGAGAGCCCAATGCCAACTGCGAGGCGAAGATCATGGCCGATGATGGCATGACAGAATTGGGACGCAATCAGCGCGGTGAACTTTGGGTTCGAGGTCAGAATGTCATGAAGGGCTACTGGAGGAATCCGCAAGCCACGAAGGAGACCAAGACGGAGGATGGATGGCTGAAGACAGGAGACATCGCTTATGTCGACGACAGCAACAAGTTCCACATAGTTGACCGAAAGAAGGTGAGCTGAAAGAACAAGAAGAAAAAAAAGTCCCAGAACTCGCCACCTGCGATGCAGGTCAATATCCAGAACATTGCTTCTGTCTCGTGTTGCATGGTGCTAACTGGCATGGTTTCGCTAGGAGTTGATCAAAGTCAAAGGCAACCAGGTCGCACCGGCTGAACTGGAAGCCCTTCTGCTGGAGCATCCCGGAGTGGCCGATGCTGCAGTCATTGGTGTTCCAAGGTGGGTTAATAAGAGGGGTTCAATCTAGCGAGCAAATGGGCTGAAGTGATGTTGACGAATAGAAATGACGACGAGAGTCCCCGGGCCTATGTTGTACTAAAATCCGGACAAACCGCCACCGAGAAGGATATTATGGCGTTCATGGATGGCAAAGTGTCTGCGATCAAAAGACTTACCGGAGGAGTGGTATTCGTTGATGCGATTCCGAAGAATCCTTCAGGAAAGATCTTGCGCAAGGCGCTCCGCGATCGCGCTAAGGAGGAGATGCAGAGAGATGCTGTCGCCGCTAAACTGTAGGCAGGCGACACCGCGGGGCCCTTCATTACATGCGGCACTTGCCCGGGACGCCAAATTGCCCGTCCAGTCGCATTGGCCGACCCAACTGGGAGGATGAGAGTTGCCAGATTCGGATATCGCCTGTGGTGGGGTGCATGCAGCGTAGTATTTGGAATGAATATGGAAACTCAATAGATCGCTGACGTGCGTTTGAAGAGAACCCGGTGCTTGGGTCGTGGGCTTGGAAAATGGGGGTGGAGAGAGCGATCAGATCCCGGCGATAGACAGTGATAGTACCAGTAGACCCATAGCAATGCAGATGAACGAGCGAATGAATAATAGTGAATGGAGAATGCTTCCGGGGCCAAAAATGGCGCGGCGTGTTTAGTTTTAGTTGGTACTGTAGGCCAGGCCGGCCGAGGAGCCTGAGAGCCTGTCAGAGGGCAAAGACAGGGCAAATCTAGCGCCACACTGATCGCCGAGAACACCGCCACACTGGGGCGCTAGACGGATCTCGTTCCTGAGTCGCCCATCTTCGGGGAATCCCAAGGGGGAGGGGTGCCCGGAATGAGAAGAGGGAATAATGGAAAAAAGTGGCAGCCTGTGCAAAGTCAGATGTCATGAATGTCTCATGAAGCATGAATCCACTCTGCAATGGCGAGCTGATGATAACTATATTCATGAAACCCCCACCGGGTCAGGACCCGAAAACCGTGGAAGTCGAACTGGATCTGCGGCAATCCAGACGATCAATTTCATTTTCTGGAGGGGGAAATTCGGGAGAATGGCGCAGCTGAGGTAAATTGACGGGCTGTGAAGGGTAATGGAGAGCGACGACACCAGGAAGCCATAAATCAAACTGGTGATAGTTTAGAAAAAAGGGAGGATGAGTAGGAAAAGGAGGAAGGAAAGGGGAAAAGAGGCGTTGAGTTGTTGTGTTGTACTAGTAGTAGCAGGGAAGTTCTACATTTCTAGATCACGAGGCCGGTAATCTTACAGGGAGGGGGGTGGAAGAATACTACTTAGAGTATACAGCATGTTGGGGTGGGACAGGTAATAATACGCGTGGGCACCTGACCGGAGGAATCCCTAGTCGAGATTGATTTGATTTTAAATTGAATTGCATTTCCACACGCACACTACGTACTACTGTACTACTAGCTAGTCAGTCGATACATACAGTCGATATGTTCAGTTCAGTATCTAGTAGTCATGAATATCTTCTAGTAGTTAGTTATATCCATCCCGTCCAACGACTTTTCTTTTCTCCATTCAGTCTTGGTCGCTGCACTACTACTAACTAAAAAGACTCCACTTCAACACGCTCGGTCTTACTCTGGCTTCAGCGGACAAATTAGAGACTCAAAACAAGACTAGACTCTCCTCTCTTCAGTCCGCCATCTCCTGGTCCCGACAAGTAGACTACCAGTCTAGTGTTCGAGCCTCACCCGGTCCAGGTCGCCTTATACCGTCGATACTGGATACTTGCTGGTTTGCTTGATCTTCACTGGGTCGGGAACATTCGCTAATGAGTTTAGCGGGCCCTTTTTCTCCCCCCATGTGGCGCTACATCTGGACAGCTGAACCTGCCTTGCGTTGAGACGTTCCTGGTCCTATGACGGGGGCGCATTACAGTTGGAGTCCCCATTCCCGTGGGTTTCGTCTTCCCCTTCATTATGCTCTCGTGGCTGAACATGACAGAGCTGGACCTGGAGGGGCCACTTTCACACTATCCCAACACAACCCGACCCCCCTCTCTCTCTCTCCTCTCTTTCCTTCTTCCTTTTTCTCTCTTCCCTGTCCGTAGTTAGCTTAGATTACACACACCTGCAATGCGAGCTTCAAAACCACGCTGCAATCCCACTAGACGGGGATTTTTTGTTTTACTGTAGATGTCCCTGCATGGTGGAGTCGCGCGCACCTTTCCTTTTCTCCCTGGATACTATAATATCAAAACAGACTATGGGAATTTCCCTCACCGGATCGTTCCAACACAGTGGTGCTTGAATATTTTTTTTCTTTTTGATTTGTTGATGCGCCATGCTTGCGCCATGCTGGTCTTAGTTATAAGTACCTTCCAGATCGCATCCTTGAGAAAAGAAGTCGTTGGTTTTTGAATTGTAACCACTTGCCTTATCCATTCTTCATTTACTTATTTACTTCCTCTCTCATACCTCCCACCCCATCTTCCAACCCTATCTGTGATACTCTGCGACTACTTCTACCACAACTGGCCTGGGAGTGACTGTCTCTCACTCTATCTCTTCTACTGCTATCGTCATCTCTTCCCCTTCCTGGAACGGGAAAGAAGTACTATACAATAGAGAGATTCCAGCTATATCCGGTACATAACCACTATTTCCCAATTGCGCGGGTTACACAGCTCTCTTTCCCCCCCCCAAAATAGATATTCCTAATACTTACTGAAACACCTTAGAAAACAATCAAAACCCTGCATTTTTCCGTCAGCAGGAGAAAGCAAGCAGTGCGTGTGAGTGTATGGTGTGCGGCCCTAGGACCTAGCACATCTAGAGAACCCTGCAATGAGCTGTATGGACAATGAATGGTCAATCCCGAAAAAAGACATTCGGATCCTTTCCTTCGCCATTCTATACGTGATTGCCAGCATATTCTGCATTCTGGTCCTACTAGTTCAGCGTCTTCGCCGTCCACTACCCTTTAGATCCTACGCCTACGTACCGCCAGAGAGGCAAATGATGGACCCGCCACCCTTTACGCCGTCCGAGAAGTGCGATCGTGGTGGTATCGTGGGTAGTGGTGGCGAAGAGCCCGTCGGCAGGACTGCAGCAGTGGGCCTAGGCCTAGTTCAGGGCCACGGCTACGGCGTAGGCTATCTCAATGACCCAGCCTCCCAGGGCGTAGGTCCATTCCCTTCAGCCTGTGATGTCCTGCAGCCACTTTCCCAGCTGTCTCCCTTACCTTCTAGTGGTTATCTAGCGGCTGTCCTGGCCCGCGAGCGGAGCCTTTGGACAAAGCAAGCATCTGGAACCGACGGTCATCTGGTGCCGTTGTCGCCCGGGTGTGCCGCCTCCGCCCCTGTCCACGACCATCGTTCAGCTACACCCCCCGCGGTGAGGTTGGATGATCGCCTCGGTGACTCGTCATCTGAAGCGCCAACTCACGGTTCCATAGTGGTGTCAGATCCTCTGCGCCAGCCCGGAATTCCTGCGCCGGTTCAGTGGTATGCCAACCCTATCGCTACTAGCCACGAACAGGGGGTCCCCAGTATCGCAAACCTTATCGGATCCCATCCTTCCCAAAAATGCGGCTACGCAGTTCAATTCATGCACGATGCAGATGAGGAGGGTACGCGCTCCTGGCGACGGTTGATGATTGAGTACAGCTAGCCTTAGCTGACTGATGGTGTGATGTTTCCTCTTCGAGAACGATGCATTGTGGGGTTCTTTTCATCCTCCGGGATTTGGCTTGCTCTTTTTTCTTTCCCTTTTCAGTTGTGGGCTTCGCTGTTCAGTTTACCTGTTCTTTTTTTTTCCCTCTCCCGGGGACGCTTATGAGGATTTTCGGGCTAGTAGCATAGGGCGTCTGTCCCGAACGACAGCGCCCAAAAGGGTGGCAGACTGTGCTTTAGTTTTTATTTCTTCGCACCTACCTAGCTTAGCATTCAATGATGATTGATGACTTCCACGATGATAATCATCTGGTACCTTTGCGAGCATTTCTTGGAGGCGACGAAGAGAAGACAACAACTGAACCCCGAGAGACGCTCTATAGTCCCCGATTTCCCGATTAGGACTAGCCCAAACACCCAGCTCGATCTGGCTGAGTCAGCAGATCTACAGGCCTCCCCGTCACCACATGATGGAATGGCCAGAAGAGCTTCATGCCCAACCTTCCCCTCCTCTTGTCTTCTCCCAGCACACCTAGCAGAAGCAGAGAAGATGACTCTCACAGCGTACGCCTCGTACCCGGACTCTCCGGACCTCGCTGCCTTGAACCTCTCGCGCCTGGTTGCTCGTTTAGAACATAACCTCCTCTCCTCAGCCGCGGATCTGAAGCCATTACGCCGGTCAGAATACCAGCGCATGAGAGTCGGAGCAGTACGTCCTCGCGCCTTTTCTTCACTCGAATCTACCTATCGCTTTGCATAGTTGAGGATACAGCTACAGCCACCACCATGACTATTGACTAACTTCCCATCAAAGAACATAGACTACGCCCGCACCAACCTCCAAACCCTCGAACGCACCCTCCCCCAGATCAAACCCACCGACCGTCGCAACGACCTACAGTCCGACCTAGCACGTCAACGGCAGATCATCAAGCAACTCCAGAATATCCTCGACGAGATCAGTAGTTCCCAGGCGGAACCTCAATCCGACGACGAAGAAGAGGAAGACGACTCTATAGACGGTGAAGACCTTCTCGGTACCCCAGATGAGGGAAGCACCACCGACGAACAACTCGAACATGAAGAGAAGGACCGTGATATCGTACCGGACGATCATGAGCCAACAACAACAGCAACAGCAGCATCTATCACCAACACTCTACCCGCACCACCAACGACCACCGAACCACCCTCCCAAACCCCAGAAGCCACTCCCGCCCCGACACAAGAACAAGCATCGACAACTCTCCGAAACAGATCACACGCACCCACAACAACCCCCTCCACTGCAACAGCTAGCGCAACCGGTTCCTCTTTCCAGAAGAACCCTCCTTCCCCACAGCAATCCTCAGATGCCCGATTACAAGCGACAGAAGAGACGCTGTCATCTCATCGCGCGGAACAGGAAGACCTGACATCGTCTATGCTTGCGCTAGCAACGCAGCTGAAGACTTCGGCGCAGACGTTCCACTCCTCCCTGGAGGCGGAGAAGTCGGTGCTGGCTCGCGCGGTGGATGGGATTGATCGCACGGCGGGGAATATGAAGGTCGCGGAGCAGCGTATGGGCATGTTGCGGAGGATGACGGAGGGGAAGGGCTGGTGGGGACGGATGATGTTGTATGCGTGGATTTTTGGGATGTGGCTGGTGGCTATTTTGATTGTGTTCTTAGGGCCGAAGCTGAGGTTTTGATTTTTTGGGGGGAAAGTGAGTGTCCATTGGGGAGGAAGAGAGTGCCGAGTGACAGTAGTTAGTAGATAGTATTATTATCCGCTGGGCGGAGATTGAAGCTGGACCTGGGCCTAGAACCTGGACATTTGGTGTAGATACATGCTAATAATTGATAAAATATTGTTAAACACTTTTATTAGTTCTTCTAATGTACACCGACTCTACGCGAAAACACATTTTTAACAGAAGATATATTTCACAATCCTTAACTCTGACTATAACCCAATGACCGACCCGGCATGACACATGAGGAAAAGACATGATATTCGGCGTACCCTGTCAATCTCCCGTGCCCGTGGCCTTGTCGTCGTTCATTGCCCTCCAATGTACGTGAGACCCATATGGAAGAATGCGTGATATATGGTTACACACAGAATTGCGGACGAGGGGCACCAAGAGATGATGGGATATCCAGCTGGGGAAAGAAGACACAGGATGAAAAAGGAAAAGCGGAAAGAGGGGGTTGGAGGGTAACGCGAACACGGAGGGAGGTAGACCAGAAAACGACGCGGGAATCCCATATAAGTAAATAAAGGAGAAAAGAAGACACGCAAGCACGGGCTCTGATAAATCTATAAATTCCGATGGAACCACAGATGACCCGCTGCTCACAGAGAAGAGAAACAGAATAGAAAGTGCAAAGGTAAAACAACTCCTGCTCTGTGTCATGGGATGGATATCGGTAATGCTGATAACAAAGAGCCGGCTAGATATCATTTCAAGACAAAGGAAATAGGGAATTAGTAAAATAGACAAGTGAATGTCTCAACGCCAGGATCTCTCAAAAGGGAGGAATAAAAAGAACAGAGTGCGACATGGTATGGCAAAAAGCAAAACAGACAAGATTACAAGTCACATAGCATACGGTCTAAATGTCGAGAAGTTCTCACTCGAGCGAAATATACCGGTCATTAGATCAGACCACACAGTCTCAGGTTTTCTTGGATGATGATGTCTAATGAGAGTCAGTATCTGAGCATGAAACGGTTCGATGAGTGTGCGGAACATACCGTTAACTGCGGCCATGACGAAACGGATCTGTGTGGTATCCGTAGCACATGTGAAGTGAGTGTAAATCTGCTTCTGCTCGGCTTGGTTGAGAGAGACAAAGCGGTTGAGGATGTAGTCGCAGGCGGCGGCGTAGTCGGCACCACCCTCGTAGTCGGGGAAGTAGTTCTTCATAGGGCTGACGGGCAGCTTCTCCTTGAAACGATCGATCTTGTTCAGGAAGAGAATGATGGAAGTCTTGACGAACCACCGGGAGTTGCAGATGGAGTCGAACAGGGTAAGCGCTTCCTGCATACGGTTGACGGTCTCGTCCTCGAACAACAGCTGGTCGTATTCGGAGATGGCGACCAGGAAAAGGATCGTGGTGACGTTCTCGAAGCAGTGTATCCACTTCTTACGTTCCGAACGCTGGCCACCGACGTCGAACATGCGGTAGGTCAAATCACCGATGATGAAAGTAGTCTCGGTGATACCGGTGGTCTTGACACGAGAGCGGAGGACATCCTGGTCGGTGGGGAGGTAGTCAGGCTGCGCGATACGGTCGATGGCATCGAAGTAGCTAAGAAATCGGTTAACAGAGGCTCCTGACGAGCCCGAGACAGATGCGGCACTTACTACTTGGCGGAGTCGTTCAGCTGGTATTCACGAGACCGCTTGAAGCACTCCTGAACACCGCTGTCGCGCCACAGAGCGCCAATGGCATTGCCGACCTCCGGGGGCAGGTTGTCACCCTCGATCTGAGCAGGCTGCATGAAGACGGTCTGGACGTGGTACTCGTTGCGAGCATCCTCCAGAGGGAGCTCCAGCGACTCCATAGCCTCCAAGATGACGCGCATAGACTGGACGGTGTTGCTGTAGATGATTTCCTTGAAGGACTCGCGCTCATCGCGGGAGTAGCTGCCCTCGTGGATCAGCTTCATCTGCTTGAGAATGGTCGATTTTCCGGACTCTCCAGCACCTGTTCAAGACATCGTTAATCTTGCGTCCCAGCGCGAAACCTACACGGGGGTAGAGAGAGAGAGAGAGAGAGAGAGAGAGAGAGAGAGCGCATACCTAGCAACAGCATCTTGATTTCGTTCCGCTGCATCATCTTGTCCCGCTTGAGCTGGTTCTCAATCTCCTCGTTACGGGCCTTGCCCTCCTTGTCTTCAGTACTCATTCCACAACCCATTTTGGCGGCGATTAATGAACGTGGGAGTGATGGATGAAAAGTCTAATGTGTGGGGGGGGGGGGGGGGGGGAGGGAGTTGGGTGGGCGGGTGGTAGTGAACGTCAAGAGTAACGAGCCTGTCCGCAGGGAAAGATGTCAGTCAGTCATGGAAGCGAATTCTCCGTGTATTGTAAAATTGGGAGCCGGCCAGCCCCTTGCCCCGTCGACCGTGGGTGTACGCGGAAAGAACCACTATCGGACACCCCAATAAAAACAATCGAATGAACGATGCACGATTTGATTTTTGAGTGTCGGAAGAGGATCAGAACCAAAAGGCAGCAGTCTCCCCAGGCCCAGAGATCGTGCTGACGCAAGGAGGTGCAGCTGATGCATCAACCGGAAGGCTTGGGAGCACCGTCCACCATGGGGGAGGAACTCCGGGGCAGAGAGGAAGCGCGAGGAAGAGGGAACAACGAGGTGAAAAGGGCCACTCACTTTGCTCGAAAACTTGATATATCAAACTCCAACTGAGAGGAGGAGAAAGAGAAGAATGGAATTAAACCGGGGATGATATTATTACTAAAGGCCAAGCGGACGCAAAGGAACGGGCGGCAGGGGAAAAATCAAATATAAGCGCGGAGCGTCTGGGACTAGTAGGCGGAAAGGAGGCGAAAGGAAGGTGGAACAGGGAAATACACCAATCGCGGTGATTTCAACAAGGATAATCCAGAGAAATTGGACTGAAGAGGATAGCGAAAGGAGAAGAAAAATAATGGAGAAAAGAAATGGACGAAGTAAACCCAGGAATTCTAAAGGGAGATGCTGGTTCTATCCCGATCCGTGAAAAAGTTGGGGTTTGAAAGGAGGAGAAAGGAAGAAGAAGAAGAGGAGGAGAGGGGGGGTGTGGGAATAGATGAGACAAGAGATCGAAAGGGAAATGAAAAGAGAGAGAGAGAGAGAGAGAGAGAGAGAGAGAGGGTAAAGCGAGCGAGCGAGGCTGAAGGGCCGGAGGGAAAGGATTAAGCTCAACAGGTTGTAAGGGGGGGCAGACTTTCAGCGTGAGCGAGTCGGGCGACGGAAAAAAGAGGGGCCAAGATGAGATCCTGAGGCAGTCCCGGGAGCGTGCCAAAAATGAAGAGCAACGAGAGAGAGCGTGTGTGAGGGAACTAGCCTGGAGAACAGACAAAATCCCGGGAAAAGGAGGGATTGATTGGGGGGAAGTCTGAGGAAGAGGGGATGAACTAGAGAGAACGCAGCAGGCTGATACGCCGACTCCATTACTACTACTACTACTACTACTACTACTTACTTACCGGGTGCCGGTACCTGCTTGCTGCTAGTCTACTAGTAAACTATTCTAGTACCAAGTGAGTATCGGGGGGGTGGGGGGGGGGGGTGAAGCCTGAGGAAAGGTTCTTCCTCTTCTTTTTCGCTTTTAATTTTGATTTTCCCCAAATAGAATTTTTATAAACCTTTTTTTTTCTTTTTTCTCCTTCTTCTTTCTGCCATTGACCATTCCCGCTTTTTTCTGGAACGATAAGCTGGCCCGGTTCCAACCTATGAGTGACGATGACTGGACCACTTCAATAGGGGCAGTGGAGTCGTCTCGTTTGGTAAATGCGATGGCGACCCAGTCATAGACTGCTGATTGGCTCTGCTGGTGCAGTGGAGGAAAAACCAGCACGATCCAATGGCCTTGCGATTCTAATGAGTAGCCTTCCCCTTTTTCGACGACCGGCTCTTCTCTGACTTAGGAGTCTGCTCTGTACGAAGTTTGTTGTGCTCCAAATGGGATTCTTCTCCCGATGGTAAGACCAGCACAGTTCAGAAGAGGTATAGTCTTTTACATTTTAGTCCCGAAAAACCCATCCCAGACACGACTACAACTATCTACTACCACACCATCCTCTGCGTCATAGATATTGTCAGTCGGCAGCATAAGACAGGCATGATACAGTGATGAGACAGCAAAGAGGTCCAAACCCGGATCCTATATAGAGTTACAAACTACTAAGTTTTCAGGGCTGTCGTTGCCGTAGATATTATGATTAATGATTCAGTTGCATGAATTAATTTCCGGATGACGCAGATCTGCAGTGCGCACCTGTAGGACCGGGATGCTATTCGACAGCCAGCCCATCAGGCCTTTTTTAACTCTTCAAATCATACTAAGCGCTAACCTCCACTGGCGACGAAATCCATCCCAGATCTCTCTTGTCTCTGCTGCTCATCAGTAACGGGCTAGACTAGTCCTGCAGCAGTAATAACGACAACGACAGCAGCAGCAGCAGCAGCAGAAGACATCTCGCAGTAGCCGACCGTTTCTAAACCTGGTCAAGGGTGCAACCTGGAAGGGCGCCTGCAGTTTCAGGTGCCCACCACGCGGTGGAGGTCCGGCACGCTCAGCGCCCGATCGCCAGGTACACCGCGCCATCACACAAAGTTACGCGGTCGGTTGGCTTGTTCCAGAATGTCTTGAGAGTTGAGAGGCTTGAGCTGATAGAGCCAGTGACGCATTTGTGTCTATTCATAGGCCGAACATTCTGAGGAATCAAACGTGGCGAAATAATCATGCATGTCTGATGTGATGATTATACGGGGTAGAATGCATTCCAGCGGAGGCTACTACTGCAGCTCTACCATGTGGAAAAGAAAAAAGGTGGATGACCTCAAGATTGGGATGGACATTAGCGTACGGAGGAATATTGTCGTTCCTGTTCCTACGGCCAGGTACCGTATGGTAAAACTCCACTTGCAACTGCCCGTCGATCGCTTCTCCGCACAAAAGGGAGAAATTGGATGAGAAGCATGCATTCACAAAGACCCATTCGCTGCTCACCATATCATCTGATACACGCTTGTGGTTTCGTCCAGTGGCGACCTCTTGGTTTTAGTATGCACTTCTTCCATCGCATCATCTCATGCTGTGACAACAACTCCCATGGATGAAGAAGGATTCAGCCACTGCTGCCTCCCACAACCACCGGACATGCACAGGCGGAACGACCCGCCTGAATCGTGCAAGATGAATCTGCTCAGATGTTGCTTGCTGGAATGGAAGCTGGTAATCGAAATCCGTGGTTCTGCAACTTGACTAGAGACCAACTTCTCCACTGTCTAGTCGCCTTAGTCGCTTGCTTTTACCGCCCACGCTATTATTCATGATGATTGTCGTCTCCTTACCATCACATCACGTCTTTCACCCCTTTGACTAGGGGAAGGGCCTCGTGGCGAGCTGCCTGACATGTCCTCTCCTACCACTCTGGGTTATAGTTACTAATTATGATGAATAACTCCAAGTTATACATAGTTAGTATATCCCCTGGAGGGTCGCGACTGCTTATACTTTCAATTGAGAACTCCTGCCGCTGTCGACCGATAACCTAAGAAGGCAGCTCGGAATGGACTAATCCCCATCTTTGCATGGAGCATGGCCAGACTATTGACTTGGTTTCCACACTTCACTGGCTTGGTGACCTTGGCGTAGACACCTTATTATGTAGACGCTTTTACTGACTCGGTTGTATAGCCTGGGAGAAATGCTGAATACGGTCAGTGCTCAGCAGTAACCGATGGAGGTCATGGTTATGATTTCTGGGTCCAGCTGCAAGAATGCCGAATGGGTAAAGAGATTGGTGGATGATGATGGTCGGCAGGATTCTCAGTAAGCTCGGAAATGGGCTGACAGGCTTCTAAAGTGTCCCAGTCCGTTGTGACTCGTGATGGGGTGGCTGACCGTGCATCCAGTCAATACGAAGGAGGAATTGAGGAAGACCGTGCAGAGTAAGACACTCAACTCCAACCCGATAACTAGATTGTCGCCTACCGCATGAAGTTATCTAAGAATGAACTGAGGAGACCATGGATCTCCAATCCAGCCCAGCCTTTTTCCTGTGCGATTCCGCCCACGATCCCTGGCTGGCTCATCGGCCAATCCGATCGTCGCTCCACTGATCCATCCACGGATCCAATCCCCGATCCATCCATCTCTCAGGGACTGCAACATCCACTCCCGCGATCGGCCTTCCTTCACAGCCTCGCCTTTGCGCTACACCTTTTTTTTTTTTTGCGACCGAGGACATCGCATACAGACTATACCCGTACGGATTGACTATCCGTCACAGATACGCCCTCTTGTTATCATAGCATCATCTATCTTCCGCTAGATACCCCTTTTCGTCAAAATGCATGAGCATGAAATGTCCTACATGGGCCCTCGGGGTAAGATCCCTTCCTACCTTCATAGCCACAATCTTTAATTAACTAACAACACCGTTACCGAAGCCTTCAGTCACGATCAGAGCCAAGATGCAGAGGCCGAATACGACCGTCTCCGCAACCTAGCCCGACAAGAAGCTTCAAAGCGCAACTCATGTTTCCAACGGGTACGCCATTGACAACCACTGCCGCAATCACCCAACCGCTCGCCAGAATAAAAAGGAACAAGCAACTAACCAACTTTCAACGGCCAGTCTCAAGAAGCCTACTCCAGCGGCGATGGCGCTAAGGCCAAGGAGCTCTCCGAACAAGGCAAAGCCCACGGTCACAAGATGGAAGAATACAACAAGCAAGCGTCGGAGTTCATCTTCCGTGAGAACAACGCCAACGGGCGCGTCGCAGCAGACACCATCGATCTGCACGGACAATTCGTCGAAGAGGCAGAGGAGATCCTCGAGGAGAGGATCAAGTATGCGAAAGCGCACGGTCAGGATCATCTCCATGTGTAAGCTTCCTTTTCACGTTACACACTACACAGGCTTCTTTCTTACTCTCGACACAAATCGCTAATCATCCAACTTTCTGCCACTCAATAGGATCGTCGGCAAAGGAAACCACTCGGCCAACCATATCCAGAAAATCAAGCCCCGAGTAGAGCAAGTCTGTCAGGAACTTGGTCTTCAGTACGCGACTGAGGAAAATGCTGGGCGCATTTATGTCAATCTGACTGGTGGACCGGCGGATATGGAGACTGCGCCTACGCCCAATCATCCTCACTATCAGCAATACCCTCAGCAGCAGCAGCATCCATCGGGCACCTATGCTCACCCGCATCAGCAGCAACAGCAGCAGTATTCTGGTTCTCAGCAGCAACAGCAGCAACAGCAGCAACCACAGGGTGCGGGTAACCAGGATGAGATCGAGCAGGTGGTCAATGCGGTTCTGCCTAAGATTCTCAATAAGCTGGAGAAGGCTTGCTGTGTGGTCATGTGAAGAGGGATTCGCGCTTGGATACATAACAATTTTTGGGCAAAAGAGTAACTTTTTCTGACCTATATATGATACGATCTGATGTGTGATTGGTATAGACAGAGAAGGGTGCGTGGGCAGACACGACCGATCATTGGACTTCTCTCGCAATTGGGCATTTGGCGGAAGACTACATATACCCCGGGGCTGTGTATTGGATTCGGTACTATCTAGACGGTGATTAACATGTTCTGGTTTCTTTCTGTTACGGGCTAGAAGACAAGAAGCAAAGAAGCAAAGAAGCAAATCAAAGTTCGTATTAAGAATCGCCATGATTGAATGTTTCAGATCATAAGACAATCTGATCAATAGGCTAAAAGGTATCACGTTTTAACATCCTGCATAAATACGAGGTCCCATGCAATCCATCAACCAACCAACCAGGGATGGCGGCGAATAAACTCCGAGCATGGACGCTTGATCATCGTCCGTCAAACTTACTGGGGACCACACTCCCCCAGTGTCGATTCGGTGATCTTGTTGAGGATCGCCCGGACCATGGCGCCGTCCTCACGTCCATCTGCTTGATCACCATCGATCGCTTGGATTAGGGTCAGTGCTTTGGCTCGCAATTCTCGGACCACGTCCCGCGTGTGCGCGAAACTGCCAGTGCTCTCCATGTAACTAACTGCATACAGTTTGACTTCTTCATCTTTCGTCTTTTGCTTGAGAATGCTGAGGAGCTGATGGTTTCCGGGGTTGGAGCGGATACTATGGATGATGGGAAAAGAGAACTTTCCCTCCGTGAGGTCTTCACAGAGACCTTTGTTCTTGGTGTAGGTAGTGTTGGACAGGTTGAGGTAGTCGTCGCAGATTTGGAAAATCAGTCCCATGACGTTGACGAGGCTCACGCAATCCTTGCCGGAGCTACTTTCGGCCTGCATTAATTTCACTGCAAGTCGGAACAAACCCCCAGTTTTGTTACCGACCATCTCCAGATACTCGTCCTCGCTGGGGCAAGTCAAGGTGTCTCGCCAGAAGAGGTCCATTCCTTGACCGCGGTGTAGGTTCAATAACTCTTGAACGTAGATGTCGATCGCAGCGGGGTTGTTCAACTTCTGCACCTCTTGCAGAGCGAGGAAATATACATAATTCGCAGAGTTGATGGTCTGCGCGGTGCCGTATATGTTATGGGCTACTGGGATACCTCGTCGCAAAATGGAGTTATCTTCGACATCATCGATCCTGGCTCATACGCCATAGGTCAGGTAGGTGTCCAGACTAAACCGAGGCATGATGTAGAGAGCTTACAGTAACGATGCAGTATGAAGCATGGCCACCACCTTTGTGATGATTGAAAGGCTCTCCGGAGGTACGTTCAACCACATATTAAAGGCGTTGATAAGCTGCCGCCGTATGTCCTTGCCGGGGTGCTGTAGCATATAGTCGTACGGCCCCATGACAATTCTCTCATTTTCAGGCGACCATTGTCCATCCTTGTATTTGGTTCCATCAACGCTGGAGCGATTACGATTGTGCATGCGCGAGTGGTTCGTGTTTGTGGCGAGCCCATCATCGTTTGTGCTTGCGTGATCCATGGCCGGACTCACCAGGAGATCTGGCTTCTCCAGGCTAGCTGCGCCTGTGCCGTCAATTGAACTATCTGCGAGGAAATACAATTCGGGGTGAGGATGTCCGCTAGCAGAGATTTCAGGAAACGGTCCTGCAGACATGGTTTGAATGTTAATCGCTTGCGTGTTTTACGGGTGATTGCTGGGTCTCGTTCACGAACAGAGAGGGGGAGGTTTTTGGCGAGCGAACAATGCTGTAACAGCCAGGCAACCGTGAGAAAGGGGAGGAGTGAGCAAGCCCATCTTACAGGTAATCAGTAAAGAAGGGCACAGCCGCAATAAATAAGGTCCGTGTCCCATAAGAATGAAGGCAAAAGCAACCAACTTGGAAGGTTATATTGCAGGCTGCACAAGGTTCTCTCTAGAAGAGCATTTGCTGCGGGGAAAGCGGCCAAATGACGAGGAGCATCACATGCAATGCCATTGCTTTTCCCCTGCTGAGGTCACATGACTCACCTGTCGGCGAAACTGGGAAACTCCGATCCGGTGACAGCTGAAATGCCTTCCCTCACTTCCCCCTCTCGTCACTAAAGTTACACCAAACTCCCCCTCCCTGTGTGAGTCCCAGTGTGACGAGTGTGACGGAATTTTCAATTCTACTGCCTGCAAGGGGGTGGTGACGTTTGAGTTGTTGCACCAACCACGAGCAGCAAGTACGTAGTACTCGTTGTCGTGGGCACGGTCGGTGGGCCGGTAAACACTCATTCCATGCTCTGGAGACTGCTTCCGTGTTGGTTCTCATACTGACCGACTTCTTCAAGAAAACTCTTGCAACCCAACGGGTGACGGCATTATTCATAACGTTCAGGCCTTTATCTTGGCCAGAGATTGACTTGGTGGCGTAGCTGAAAAATGGATCCCCTTTCTTGACATCATTAGCTGAAGGCTATCAAGGAGATCCTGTTCTTCATGGCGTCGAACGTAGCACGCCTATTGGAACACGATCGTGCGTCTCCGGGACAACCATCGGGTGTTTGTGTCGGATGTGGGGGAGCTGCAGTCACTAAGGCTGGCCAGTGACCGAGTCTAAATCGGCTCGATCAGCTTCACACGATGACAACAACTATTTCTTCGCTAGTTGATCGAGCCCACCGACTATCGCTCACCAATCATTGTAGCCTTTAATCAAGGCCCCCAATTCTCCAAGCGCCTGGGCTCAGCCGTGTTCGATTATTTTTCTGGCTCCTCTCTCTTAAGTTAAGGTACTACATATAGATAGCGTCGTATCTCTTGGCCCAGGGTCCTTTGCGACTGACAGATCACGGCCCGTCTTTTTCTTTTTTACCCCCGTTTTCCTTCACCTGCAACCTAGTTCCTTATTTCCCTGTTATTTCTGGAAATAGCCGTGTTACTCATCATCTCTGCCCTTGTATTACTCATGGAGGCTTTGCTGGCACACTCGTTCGATTACCTTTCCTCTTACGAACCAAGCAAAGTTCGCAAAGGGCTGCGGCAGGTCGAAGGGCTCCTCGCACAGATTTGTTTATCCAAGACGAAACGCCCGGCGTCTGACAAACGGCGTTCCCTTTTGTCGTTTGGGGCTCCGCAACCGGTGCCCAAGTCTTTGGCCGAGCTTCGAGATGATCCGGCCTTCAGGGAATTTTTCAAACTTCAGGAGGGGTTTCAATGGAATGGTAAGTGTCGCTATCCGCCGACTCGCGATCATGTGGGTTCCCAACACTAATGCACTGCAACCAGTCGCAATGCGCTTGGTGACATGTCTCGAACACCTGCTTGGGCGGGGGAGCAATGGCACCAATGACCTTCTCATCGTCTCCACACTCGATCTGATACAGGGTGTGCTCCTCCTCCACCCTCCATCGCGCACACTGTTCGCGCGCGAAATCTACATGAACCTACTTCTGGACCTCCTTGATCCAATCAACTGCCCCGCCATCCAGTCTGCGACCCTTCTCACCTTGGTCACGGCTCTTTTGGACCACCCCGCCAACACGCGCACTTTCGAGGAACTTGACGGACTGCTTACGGTGACCTCGCTTTTCAAGCAACGTGCAACATCTCGTGAAGTCAAGCTCAAACTCGTCGAATTCCTGTATTTCTACCTGATGCCGGAAACACCGATGATCCCCACTAGCGCAGCGAGTGCGCCCAACACAGCAGTCCTTGGACATCAACGGAGTCCAAGTAAACTTGGTGTTTCCCCGGTCTCCCGGAGTGTTAATGTGCCCGGTGCCTACGGCGGCGGAAAGGCGCATCGGGATACACGTACGACTGACGAGAAGCAAGCATTATTGGGCCGGTATTTGAACAATGTGGAGGATCTGGTCGAGGATTTGAAAGAAACAGCACCCTTTGGAGCAACAGTCTATTAGCGGTGTTACGAGCGTCATTGGGTTCTGGTTTTCTTTGTTTATGTTGAGCGTGCATGGATAACGGTATCATGGCTGGGGTTCTTTTTCTCTAATGGTTTTTTCTTGATATCCTCAAGCTCCTTTTTCCTTTGTTCCTTTGTTCCTCTATTTCCTTTGTCTCTTGGTTTCTCTTCAGCCTTTCCCGTCTGGTACGGTCTATGCATCCGGCACAACAGCCTCTATCCTGTTTCTTCCCTCATTTTCTGTCAATGCCTTTTTTATATGACTCATGCATCCGCCTGATGTCTCATGTGTCACGTTGAGACCATGTCTTTATAATCTTATGCGACCCTGAATGAATTGTTATGAATGACAATTGTTTGCTACTGAGTAGTGTGACCCATGCCTGGGGCCAATGCATGTCTTAGATCCGAGCTCCGGCAACTTCTGAGCCAAACTTTCTGAGCCACATCGCTATGGAAACCACAATCTCTCGTACAACTCTGTGTCTCCCTACATATGTACAGTCAATCATCTACCCACCTACCTGTCTATTCATGACCCCTATCTAGTTACTCCATTCCAACCTTACTCAACAACCAACCCCCATTCTGCAATGTCTGAAAGACCCTCTCAGGATCATACTTCTTCGCCACCTTTTTCAACCGTCTTACGTTCTCCACACCATAACTCGCCAACGGATCCTGGTCCCACGCCGCATAATTCGAATACTTGTACGGGAGATACACACCCGTCCGTTTTGCCGCAGATTCTGCCGCATCCACGATCTTGCGCACTGCCTCGCGCACCCGTTCTTCATCCTGGACGTTCTTCCAGTCTGCTCGGGCGAGGAACCCTGTACCGCAGGACAGCTGTGTTAGCTACCAGGAGGAAACATAAGGCGTGTTATTCTTTAGAAGGGGTATACGTACACTGCTGTCCAACTGGCTCCAAACCTAGAGGACTTCCGCCATTCTTGAGCGACTCTCTCATGGCTAGTGACGACATAGGCTGAATGACGGTCGTCAAGGCGATGCCCTCTACGTCCTTGAGAGCTTCTGCTTGCTCAGCGTGAGCTTGTTCGATGGCCTTGTAGACTTCTAAACTAGGGCGGCTGGACATGGTGCGGAATTCATGGCTGTGAGAGTTGTTAGGTCGGTATTCTTCCTTTGGTATATTCTTCAAGGATATGGCATACACAGTAGGTTCAGCTTCATTCACGGATGCCACGGCCTGGACTAGATCGTAGACGGTGCGGATACCTGGGGGCACGAAGCTAGTGAGATGAGGGATGTCGTAGAAGGCCTGGAAAACGGGAGGATTCTCGACGGGCGCGCAGTAGAAATAGACGATGAGAATGATGTCGTTGGTGGCGTTCCAGATGAGAGATGCCTTGTTGTCGGTCTCAATGGCATCGTGGTATTGCATCAGTGCGGCGCGCAGTTGGTCGGCTGCCGTGAGGGGATAGATACGAACTTCGGTCCATATTTGGTTGGGGATGGTGTTCATTTCAATCTTGGTAACAATGCCTGCAAAACGTCGAGTTAGAAATCCGCTGCTAGATATTACGAAGACCGTATATGCTGGTGTTGCTGGTCATCGAGCATGGTGATTGTAGGTGGTATAGTACCGAAGTTGGGCCCGCCACCCTTGAGGGCCCAGAATAGATCGGGGTTTTCGTGGGCATTGGCATTGATGATTTGCGAGTTGGCAAGAACAACCTGATCAGTGGCTGTTAGATGCTGTACTCCTTTATGGGAATGAAGAGAGAAGATAAATGCTAACTTCGTAGTTGCAGACGCCCATGGCACCCACGCCATACTGACTATTCTGGAAGGAGATGCCGCCGCCGAGCAACAAGCCGGAAACCCCCACGGAAGGCACTCTTCCTCCTGCAACCGCCACCCCGTGCTGTTCAAGACGGCGATATACTTCCAACCATCTCAATCCGACGCCAATCTGTGCCGTGGATTTGTCTTCAGCCACCCGGATTTGATCAAATGCTCCCAAGGAGATCACCACGCCGTCCTGGTTACTGGTGAAGCCCGGAATCTGCAAATGGCCCCCACCCCGGATGGAGAACTTGACGTGGAAAAAGCGGCACAGCGACAACGCAGCTGCAGCTTGTTGGGCAGACCCGGGACGGACAATTACCCGAGGTTGAAGCCAGCAATTGGTAGACCTGACCGGATTGCGGTGGTTGGTAAAGGCATTCTTTTGGTGGTCGATCCCAAAGTATAGACGTACCAGGGAACTATACGCTGCGGCTCATAGCCATTGGACCCGTGCACGACGGCAGCTGCGCCGAAGAACAAGGGGAAGACGGCGGCAACGTAAGAGGCCCGTTCCTGGTCTTGCTCTGCAGCTGACAGGCTGTCAAATCGCGATAAGAGGGTCTCTATATGCGTGACCTTTTCCTGCTCTAGATGGCAGGCGTTGGCGACGATCTCCGAGACTACCGCAGCCATTGTGTGATCTATGCACGAGCTATAGATGCAGGTAGCTGTCACAAGCCAAGATTTGAGGAAGTGAAAAAGAAAAGAAAGGCAAGGAAGACCGAGAAGAAGGCTTCTGCCCCCAATTCCGTGATCCGGATGGTGGATATCGGCTCGGAACCGACTAGACGCTATCTGCGCCGGCGTCTTGAGCGATCCTGCGACCAGGATTCAAACCCCTGTTAATGTTTGACAAGCCTCGAATTTGGAGCCTGAGAATCCCAGATCCCTGTTTCATTTGTACGTTAAGAGTATTGGCATCATCGACTTGCATTCCTTCGTGGTCCACAGCACCCCAGACAAATACTTTAGAAATGATGGCTCTCCCCGCTTCTGCTCTCTCTTCTCTATCCATCCCGATGACCACCTCTGCTTTGGTGCATGAGAGCCGGTTAGGATGGGTGGGTCTATCGAGCAACAGGGCGATGTGCCAACATCGTCCATGACCATCGCGGTGCGGATCATTGTGTTAGTGCTGGCGGTTCCGACAACCTTGGTGTGCATGCTTCGAGTATGTTTTTTTGATACTCCTGCAGGCCATATGGAGTCCACAATGACTGAGCTGTTGTAGCTGTATATGCGCAAGTTCGTCCTGAACAATTTCGGGCTTGATGACTGGTTGGTGCTGGTTGCTCTTGTGAGTTACGCAGCCGGTAATTTTCCCTGCGCCTGATAACTGACTGGCTAGATCGGAGTGGATCTGTTCTCTGCCCTGGCGTATATCATAACGTACTATGGATTGGGTCGGCCTTTGAAATATGTTCCTGAAGACCATCTGGTTGTCTTCCTCACGGTTCGTACCTTGAGGCCCAAAGCTTTTAACCAAACTGATCTTTGCAGCTCGAATATGCCTCACAATGCGCCTACCTAGTCATCGCAGCAACTGTGAAAACGAGCCTGCTCATATTTATAATGCGTCTGTTTCCGACTCGCTTCGTCCACATTGCCGGGAAAGCCCTTCTTGGTATCATCGCGGCCTTCACCCTTTCGGGGACCCTCGCGCTGGTCTTTCAATGTCGCCCTGTCCAAGCGGCCTACGACAAGACTATCACCAATTCGAGCTGCTATCCCACTGAGACCTCGTACGCAATTCTTATGATGCAAGGTGTCATCATGTTCGTGCTAGATGTATCGATCCTAGTACTTCCGATACGGCCTATCTGGCAGTTGCAGATGCCGATAAGGAGACGAATACTTGTGCTGGGGCTACTCTGCATTGGTGAGTTTTTGAAAGAATTCAAAAGTCCAATAACTCATTATTGTGCAGGTTTTACCGCATGTGTTGCTGCCCTCGTGCGTTTCTCGACTCTAAAGTTTGCCAATGATACGACCAATTTCACCTGTATAGTTTCCTTCAACTGGGCAGAAGATAGATTACTGACTTTTCCCAGACTCAGCCTCCACGTCCCTCATTTGGATGGAGATTGAATTCAACCTCGGCCTAATGTCAGGGTCTCTTCCTTCTCTGCGAAAACTTTTCAAGCTTGGCTCTCAATTTCCCACGAGCCGGTCAACGAAGACACAGCAAAGTTATGCATCGAACTTCGAGTTGCACCGCCACAGTTGGACTATAGGTGGAATCACAAAGAAGACAGAGATTCAGAGAGACTATGAGAGAAGTGAGAGCCAGGAGTTCATTGCCCCAATATATGGGCAGGGAGAACTGACCACGACTTCCAAAGCGTATGCAGATGGGGAGACAAGCTCTGCCAGTAATGTATGATGCCCGGGTCGTGATGATTAATTTATGGTATCTGTGTCTCGATGACGCGAATAGAGCCATCCAAATGCAGAGAAGACCCAAGCGGGTTCGCGCATTCAATTTGTAAAGGTCCCATCCTATTACTGCCTCCGTCAATGCCGAGCCGGTCGGTGTGTGAGGGTCAAGCCGACGTAATGCCTGTATGTCCCGGATTGGTCTCCGATATGCGGAAACTGACATTGGCCAGCGTAGAAGCTTACCTCCTTACTAGTACTGTTAGTTTACCGGTCCAGCCACTGGAAGGGACATACAGACAAAGACTTGCCAATCTGTTTCCTACAGTATTGATATTGCTTGACCGGATCTTGTCCAAACGGGCTGATCGGGGTATAAGACTGTGACGGATTTCCTTCAAGGCGGAGGCCTGTTCCAGTTCTAGTTGGGTAGCATTGACACATATAAGTTGTTATTGTACAGTAAAATTAGAGGATTTTTTTCACAAATCCTTCCGTCTAAAAGAACTTGAGGAGTCTGTCACGATGTTGTACAAGGTTCTCGTGTTGGCGCAGCAATTGTCCCAGCCGGTTCCGTCGCCAGCCCAGCTTCTCCTCCAAGATCAGGTGTGTGTATGCGAAAACACTAGCATCGAACAGACCCGGATTCGGTCGGTCAAAGAAGTGCAGGTTATCGCCCAGTAACGTAGACAGTGCCTCGAATGCGTCGTTAGCCTCGGCCTCCAAGGCGCCCACATCGATATAAGATGATGTTTTTAGGATCTCTGTCCGGGCGGCTTGCTGGAGCTGCAGCGCGAGAGCGGTCCGCACGGCGGAATTCGTACTAGACGGGTCCACGTATAAAGGTCGAGCAACGGCCTCGAATTCCTCGGGATCCAGGTATAGGGTATATAGCTGCTCCGGCACCAATTAAGTCAGTCAAAACTCATCCATCGACAATGGATTCCGGGGGGTGGGGGGACCGCAGCGCACCCAAGCATTTCGTATCCGGTGATCCAGCAACGACGCATATACCTCGAAGCGCAGATCCAACTGCTGCTCCTCTTCGCAGTGAACTTGCTCGATGGCCCATTTTTGGAGCTTGCTGGAAGGAATAGGGGCGTTGTTGTTGATGGGGTGGGCGGGGATTAGGAAAGGAAGGGCGCCAGAGGGAGATGCATGGTTGTTGGAAGAAATCACGTCGACGTCGATCCCAACGAATCTTAAGTATGCCTGGAGAGACACGCAGAGGGGTATCAAGTTAGTGATGTACTTTAGAACTAGCGCAATGCTGCATTTCCTAGTACGTACCTGCCACTTGAGACACTGCGGGTTGAACGACGGTCTGCCATGTCTGGCACCTGCGGCATCGGTGAAAACATACAGTCGATTGCCACGTTTGTCGGACCATGCGCTGTGCGGGAGATCATTGGAGGGGTAGGTGACGAGGGGAAAACGGTCGAAGATGCGCTTGATTGGCGCAGGAACGGAGAAGAAGTCTCGAGCGCGCGACACCGTGCTCACATTGTCCGGTGCCTGGCCGGGGACATCACGGTGTTCGGGGGTCATTGGATGGGATGGAGGGAGGGAGGGGATTGCGCAACGGGGCGGATAAAGAGGGCGGCAGAGCTGAGATGTCAGTTTGATAAAGCTGGGTAATTGGCAACAAGGCCAGCTAGAAGACCCGAGGTCGATGTAGGTTTGTTTGATGAACAGAGGGACAGATCCGTTTCTCGCCCAACTATTTACTTAGTTAAGTTCAGTTGATCTTGTTATTCGCCGGCTGATAATCTCCGGCCGCCAAGCCCGCACCCATTTGTATGCCTTAGGCAGAGGCAATGGTTATGCTGCCTGAGGTTCGCAAATGGGCTGCCACGCGTTGGATTTGAATTACTCTTATCGGCTTATCGTTAAGTTTTGCTCCGCCGTTCGGACGGCAACGGAGACCTCCACCATCTTTCTCTCTCTCTCGGTTTGACCACCCACGGCATTCCCTCAGCAATACTAATTATTCAACTTCCTGCGGGGTTGTAATTACATACTGCAGCATTCTTCCTCATCCCGAGCTGCAATCCCCTCGGCCTCGCCGGGTTGTCGTTCGTCTCTTCCCCGCCTCTGGAATCCATCCCACCGGGTAACCTTTGCGCTCGTTCGAATCCGTCGCTTGTCCAACCCGTTCCAGCCTCTCTTTGTCATTCCACTTGTGGTGCATCCTGGTCCGCCTTCGCTTCGAGGGGAACAATAACTTGTTTTCTCGGTAGACGTGCACCGCAATTACCTGTCTCTAACACACTGCTTATTTCATTTCTTTTCTTCTCTTGTGATCAACTGAGTTCTTACGAAAGCCGGCTTGCGGCCGTGGTACGATCAGACCTACGGGCGGGGTAAGGCCATTCGCACACTTATATCTCACCTGAAAGCTCAGGCCCTCCCGTGGATTCACTATTCAGCATACTCTCGGCTGATGCTGTTCTGGGCTCGTTATCATGCCTCTCGATGAAGAAGGGGCCAAGTGGTCATGGTATGACTCTCCGCCGGTGAATAAGCTCTCTGCTAATCAGATGCGCTTCCACTAGTGAGCCATGTATCCGTGGCCATCGGTCCTCGAAATGCCAGCACTTCGACAGGATGATGATGAAGGTCCCAAAGGCCGGACGACCGCTTGCTAGATGCCCTCATCCGAAGGGAACTTGCAGCTGCCAGAAGCTATATGCGTTCATGATTCGCATTCCTAAAGGTGGGTATATACGACGGATATAACCTATTGTCTATCCTACCGTGTCATAGTCGCGTCTTTGGTTACTGACTTTGACTGTGTCATGTAGGCTCGACTTGCTTGTGTAGACCAGTGTACCAAGTGCCTGCCGATGCGGCGGAATCTGCTTCAACCACCCCCATTTCTGCTCCTCCGATGCCGATTGCTGCTCCCAACAAAATCCAGAAACCCATCAAACGACAGATCAAGACTGCTCCAGAGAACCTTACCAAAGCCTTGAACTCCATACCAGAATTCGGAAGCCAGCAATTGGAACATGGAAATCTGGGCCGACCATCTCCTTATCCGGCTCAGGAACAGCGTTTGTCCAGTTCATATGATATCATCAAGCAAGAACCAAACCCCTCGCACAAGACCTTCGAGTGCGCCAGCGAAGATAAGGCGCCGCAGGGCGGCAGCTGTTGTTCTCGCAAGTCTCAGCCCTCACAGACTATAATTCCGGATGTTCCAGCTCCTGCAGTCCAACGTTCCTGTTGTAGGAAGTCCGGTTCGGCGGCACAAGATGTCGAGAAGGAGGACAGCACTCCCAGCGGTTATGGTCACTTCCAACCTCCAGCCTTCCACAGTGATAATGCAAGATACACACCGAACTCTATTCCCCAGGTTTCGACGTGGCAAGATTTCCAAGCAGCGAAGCAGAGCCAGTACATGCAGCCTTTCGCATTGCCCGTATCCGAGTCTGGTTATCTCCCAATGGCTGGACCTGCCGCAGGTTTTAATTCTAAACCACTAGACTTTCAGCATCCGCATGCGTTCAACAACTATGAGATCTTCAACAATCAGATCTCTCAGCCGACGTCGGAGAATGCTATTGCAAATCCAGCAAATCCTGCTGGCGAAGCCTCCCATGATTGTAGCTGTGGCGATGGTTGTCAATGTCTGGGTTGCGCGTCTCACCCCTTCAACAACACTACTAGACAGCATGTCCAACAGATGGGCCTCCTGGTGGCCCTCCGTGATGATGAACAGAGCCCCGACAGGCTGAACAGCCATAGAGGCTCTCCTTTGCAGACTCAACCCCCGGACTTCTCATCATTACAGTATTCCTTCGCCAACTTCGGTAATCCTCTGGGCGACAACTTTCACCACGTCGCAATGCACCCATATGCCCAACAGAGTACGGACTCGGGTCACGTAAACAATGGCTATTCATCTCCGCCTGCGGATTATCTAGGACAGCAACTGATGGTACCGTCAGAGTACTATACTCTCGAGTACCCAGTGGGGCTACCTAGCGCTTGCTCCGATACAACTGGAAGCTGCCAATGCGGAAGTGACTGTACCTGTGTTGGCTGTCTTACCCACAGTGGACACAACGGACTGCCTCTTGAGCCCGCCATGCCTGAGGGCAACTGGGACCACATGAACCTTCCAGGTTTCTCCATGGACGCTACAGGTCACAGCACGTCACAGATGCCTGTGATGGATAACTTTGTCGCTCATTCGAACTCTATGCTGTAGTACCCCACCTTTTATTTGCATTGGGATGCAATGCGACTCCGCCATCTTTCCACCCTTATGCCCTTCCCTTGCTTTTCCTGCGATCAAGTTCTCACTCGGATGACCGATGCTTGTTCATGATACCCCTTGCTCATAGATGTTGGATGATAGAGGATACAAAAGTCTTTCCGTCCTCTCTATTGTTGTATATATTCCTCAGCCATTACCTAGGTTTGTCTAGAGTCGCAAACGCACGGACCGATCTCCTCCCCAAGCTCTATGAGCCCTTATTTCTCTATTATTTCCATTCGTTCTATACTGATTGGCAAGATATCGGTAGAGTTATCGCAAGATCGCAAGAGACACTGGACTAGACCGAATGTAGTAACCTGGAGAGAACTAAGCCCAGATGCTGTATAATGTGGTCGCATGAAGGGCCTAGATGCTAATGAATAGCTACTATCAAAGCGGCATTACAGATGCCTTAAAACAGTTAGAAGTGGTAGCACAACGATGAATTGAATGCTAAAGTAGGAAAAAGTCTAGAGAGACCATTTCAAACACGACGAAAGATGTTCTTGATGCAGCTCGTTTTCCTTCCCAGCTATACAGGTATCATACAGAAATGGAGGCCCGAGCTACTCTACCTACGCAGGGCATCTCTGACCGGAGAGTCGCCCCGACGGAAGGAGGCTGTAGAAAGTTAGCTTAAACAGTTCCCTCCGGTATTGGAAGAGAAGGGGTTGAATGCAATTGCATGAACGTACAATCAGCTTCCTCCCAAGCACGTCCGGCACCGAAGCCGAGACCAACCCACGCGGGCCAAGCTCTCCGCTTGAAGAGGAGCACGGAGAAGACAACACCGAAGGAGAGACCGAGGGAAGAGCGGATGATGAGGGAGGAGATGGCGCGATCCCACTGTGCATTGAGAAGTTCCGTATTAGCCCGAGCACTACTGACTACACTTCCCGATGACATATGTGCGTCTGTCCCGCAGTTGCAATTTGCGGATGGGGTTCTTCAAGGGCGGAGAGGCCCGGCGGCTCCATGGCAGGCCCAGCCAACAGAACATTCAACATCCAGACGGAACAAAGTGATCGATGGAAACTTCAGATGGTGGTGCAAAGTACCTTTTCGTTCAGCAGGGCCTCGCTGACGGGCTTGGTGGAGCGTGGGACCGGTGCGACCGGCTGGGATTCGTTGGAGTCGGCCATGGCGATAAGAGCTGAAAGTCCGAGAGTTAATTCAGAGAAGGCCCAAAATGAGGGGTCAATTGGATCGACAGAGACCTGACTGACCTTCGGCAACAGACTACAGAAGGGAGGGTTAACTGGTTGCAAGCAAAGGAATGAGAAGCAAGAAAGAGAAGGAGAGTCGATGGGCGGACAAACTGATCGGGTGCGACGTTTCGAGCTCTGCCGGGCTAAAAGGCGGTCGGAAAAACTAGGCAAAGCGCTCTCCGCTTTCTGGCGTCAGTCTTCCAACTTTTTCGACTTTAAGGAATCCCTCCTTGGTCCCCGCAGACCAAAAAAAATAAAATCAACGTCTAGGACGAACCACTTCCCCCGGACTATGTTCGATTTATGCTGACGCGGTGGCATCGAGGATCTTGGGGAAACCGGTACTTTACGATCTGACTCGTCTCATCCGAGATGCCTTCAGTCGCGGAGGTATGTGTTGGCTCGCTATCTTCCAAGCGTTTTGGGTTGTATGCAACTTTGAGTGTTCGGCTAACCTGCTGGGATTGTTTCTCTCTATACAGCGTCCGCGCTCCTCACAGGAAGCTTTACTCCGCCTCGAAAAAGGCACCGCGTCTCCGACCACACAACTTGACGAAGCCGCTCAGATCATCGGCCTGGATCTTGCCCTATGTGCGAGTCACCCTGAAATCAATCGAACCCCTCATGTACAGAATAATGCCGCGCCGAAGGAGGAATGGGTGCTCCGATGGTTATTGAAAAAATTGCGGGCGGGCAAGAATTATCGCGTCGACTCTACCTCTTTTCTCCTACTCCGACAGTTGATCGACCTAATCCCGCCAAAGACCCTGGCTACGACTCTGAAGGACCAGAAATTCCTCGCTATTTTCAATCAAGCTATTGCCGACCTGGAGGAGGATGTATTCGCAGCGCTGAAGACGGGAACGACTGATTTACTGCCCTCCGATTCGGATTCAAGTCATACCTTGAGCGATTCTCCGCACCGCAATGGCGATTACGATAAGAAGGGAACGAAGAGAAAAAGGGCCGGCGACGATGAAGCAGACACTATGGATGTTGATGACCAGCCGCGCACGCCGATTTCGTGTTTCTTGGCTTTTATTCGCGCACTGGATTGCCTGTATAGCTTGATCATGCTGGCGAATCGGACTCTTGGGGTAGATGAGGTCGCTAGCTCCCATTTGAAGCACGCTTTGAAGGGCGAGCCAGAGCCAAACGCGGTGACGCTGCAAAAGTCTTTCCGACTGGCTGCCGTGATTTCGACGCAATTTTCCCATGCGCGCAAGACGACGGACTTACAGCACCTCCTCTACGTGTTTCCTGCGGTCTTGGAGCTGTGGGAACTGAGGTCCTCTCGCCGTGATGACTCAGATAAGGGACTGAGTAATGAGTGCTTTGCGAAACATTGTTTCCAGAGCGCACTCAGACTTCAGGTCTCTGTTCGATCGATCCGACTTGACACCGATGAGAGGGCTCACGTACTGCATGGAGTGGAGCGCTTGATCGCTCTGCATGTGGTCATCCCGACACGCGGTGGATTCTACGAGCGAGGAGGTGCAGGTATCGACTATTCAGCTAGTGAACCGGATTGGAGTCCGGTTAAACCTATCTCTGATACACTTAGACCCATCCTCTGCAAACCAGAATGCCCGGCAGAGACTGCAGAGGACTCCACTGTACAAAAGAAAATCATGTGGAAGACAGCAGAATTGCTCCCGGAGTTTTTCGATATCGCGGTTCGTTCGGTGCCAAGGGACACTTTCCGGAGACAGACACACGAGGCGCCGTGGCTGGAGACTCTGTTTGTTGCTATTGCAGAGCTGGCATTCTCAATTGTAAAGTCTGAGAATACAACCACGTACCTTTCCGAGTTCGTCGGCATTTTGGAGCGTCTCTTCCGTGTGGTTCTTGTCCGTAACGTGCAGTTGTCTCTACATACATTGCTCACCCACGCTTCCTACACCGGGCTCCTCAAGGATGGTTTGTCGCAGATTGAATGGAATCTTACATCTCTACTTGTTGAGCTCGGTGTTGATATCTTCCTCCCTAACTCTGGTCTCAGTGACTCGACAAAATTGCTGAAGGCTCTGCTGGAGAAGATCTTCTTGCATTGGCGCAGTGGTACGCCCCAAAGTGACGGCAGCTATGAGACCATTAAAAAGGGCATTGTTATACCTCTGCTACGTGGTTTCGTGGCGGCTCGAGATTTGCCCACCTTCATGGAGTTTTGGTACGAGCAGCTCATCGAGGTTGAAGAGGCACGGTCGCAAAATAAAAACTTGGAGTCCTTTATTGTTTGGGAGGATGATGACGTGTGCAATGCATATGGCGATGTAATGCGAAGTCCCCTCACTCACACATTTGCAGCTGCGCAACTCAAGGCAGCTGCGGTGGAAATTAGGAGCGAGGATGGGAAGATTGCCGACGCGCCCGGAGCCTACGCCCAGTTCGTGATCTTAGAGTCTGGCTTCAGATACCGTGATTTGAGCTTCGCGGACAAGAACGAATCTCTTAGCTCTGTCATCCAGACCGCGGCATCAACGTTGTCGTCAAAGCAAAAGCTGCATTGGCGATGGCGGCTGTGGCGACTCGCTCGAAACCTCTTAGAGAATAATGTCCAATCCACCGACAATGATCTCGGAGTTGCGATTATGAATCTGGTCGAGACAGGTGCAGCGACCATTCGGCGTCACCATAAGGACCGGCTGCAGAAACCTTGGGCACCCTTGGAATGTTTCGAGGCGTATCAATTTACCCTTGCCGCCGTCAAGGGGTCTTTGAACAATGATCAGTTCAAATCACTTACCAGCCAAATAACAGAGCTGGTCAAGTCAATCTCCGACAAAGATGCTTCGGATGCAATTGTATCACCCTGGAACGGGCGTATCGAGACTCTGAATAGGCCGGATACTCTTGCCCTGGCGTATTTCCTGACACTTGTCAGGAGTCCCGACGTCTGGGATCGGGTTGAGCCTGAAACTAGACGCTCTTTGTTTGGCCATATCTTTTCTTTGGCAACATCTCAGTACAAGTCTTCACCATCGGCTTTGGAGACTGTTAGCCCTGAACTCAGATACCTTCAGGCCTGGGCTGGCGTTGTCTGCCATGAGTATTTGCTCAACGCTCCGGCCATCGCGTCTGATCTGATCTCCGTGCTCTCGAGCCGGGTCAAGGAGGACATCACGAACCGTAAACTCTATGTTGAGAGCTTGCAGAGGATTCCTGCCCCGCTTGTCGTGCGCCGGCAGAGAGCGATTTTGCTGGATCTCTTGCAGGAGGTTATTGTCCAGGAAGACAGCACGCCCGAAGTCACTGTTGGAATGCTGTCATTGATGGCCAAGCTGGCCGATATGCCTAAATCTGCCGCAGCCGTCACCAGCAATTGGGAGCCGGTCTGGACGATTGCGAAGGCAGTCACCTTGCAGGGAAGCGAGGTTGATCTTCAAATCATGAAGGCCTTCCGCAACCTGCACAGAGCAGTCATAGCTAAGCTGCTTGTTCTGTCCGATGAAGAGCGTCACAAGCTTTTCAAGAAGATGTACCGCAAGGTCTCATCTAAGGCATCGAAATTACAGACTCTTGACCGTGACTCCATGGACTGCTTCTATCTTAGGATCTCTCTGTCTCAGCTGTGGCACCACCGTAAGCAGCTGGTAAATGTCTTCGAAGAGACGGATCTTGCTGCTTGCCGTCAGAAGGTTTTCGACCTGGTGGTTGTGGAAGTTAAGTCTGTCAAGGATCAGTGCAAGAAACAGCAGCTGGAAGAGACGATCACCCTGATCAAGATTATTGATGCGCTGG